AGATAGATGGAATATTGGCAGGAAAGAAAACAGGAAGGAGGGAGAAATTCAAAATAAAAGCACAAAGTATATCCTTAGCAGCTGTAGTAGAAAGAGAGCTAAATATGGAGATTAGCTGATGTGGATGCAAATAGGCTAAAGAGTTCAGGTACTTCGAGCTAGACACTGTGAGCACAAAAGAAGGGGGAGGAGAAGAAGGGAGAGAGGGAGAAAGGGTAAAAGAAACAGAAAGAAGAGGTCCCTGGCCCTAAGGGGAGCTTACAACCTTGGGTTCTGACTAGCCATGTGTCATTGAGCAAGTTATCTACTCCAATCCTGCATATAGATCTTTAAAGTGAAGCTGGACCTCCCAAAGCCACTATGAAGAACAGTAGAATAGTGTATGTGAAATACTATTGTAAACTATCAAGGGTTGCCAAATGCTACTAATAAATACATTCTGACTCAGGTTAGGCCAACTGCAAGCGTGAATATGAGCTCATGTTCCAGATCTGCTCCCCAAGTGACTTCCCACATCTGTCTTGAATGTGATGAGCAAACTCACTGTCAGGCTTGGTGGTCTGCCCTTTTGTTGTTGTTTTAACTTCTGCATTGAAACAACCTGGATGTTGTTTTGTACAGTTCTGAGCATGAGATTCCTTTCAGGCCCCTTCCTCCAGCTGTCCCCCCCCCCCAGTACCAGAAGCCCCTTCCCCAGACAAGGCCTGCTGTTGGCACAGAGGCTACCAGCCTCCTCTCTGGCCTGTGAGTCTCCAGTTGGAGGCAAGAGGCCTCCAGCAACCAGAACAGCTTGCTGGAGACCCTTGGGAAGGAGGGAAAACAAGACAGGCACTAAAATTAAATGAATTGTCCATAAATGTTTTTTTAATTAAAAATGTGGTTCTTTTCCTGTGCAGAAGAGGCTCTTTAAGAACAATTGCACTCTCTGAGTGGCAGGTGAAGAGCTCAGCAGCTCGTCCCAAAACCAGGGAGGGGAGGAAGCAATAGCAGAAGTGATGAGGGGACTGGTATTCTTCTCTTTTAGGGGTAAGAAAGTCAAAAGGAGAAGGGGAGTGAAACTGAAAGGAGGGATCTGCTTGGTAACTTTCTGGGCTGAGGCTCCTGGGAGAGAAGACTGAGCCTGTTGGGAATCCCAAGCTAGGATTTTGTGTTTTCCTTTGTTTCATAAAATCATGCCACCTTCTCCCGCTATCCTTCTCACCCCAGGAGGGCCTCAGCCACCAGCCTTGAAGCTGCAGCCAGAGCCATCCACTGCCTTGGCCTTTGGGGCTACCCCAGCAGGAGAGAAAATCCAAAAGGGTGTGTGTGTGTGTGTGTGTGTGTGTGTGTGTAGAGTGGAGAGAGAGAAAGAGAAAGAGAGAGAGAGGAGCAAAGGTGGAAGGAGAGACAGGGATGGAGACCAGAGCCCACTCCACTGGGGGAGATAGATCCTTCAGGAAAGGAAGAGTCTACACGACAGGACTGAAGAAAAGAGTAGAAAAGGAAAAGCAGCTTCAAGCGAGACAACATAAGGAGAGGTGGACAGGGAGGGGAAGAGCCCAGAGCAGCAAAGCTGAGGGATATGTAGTGACTTTGAGAAACAAAAGTGTACTGTCGGTGGGCGGCTGCTCTGATCTCAGCAAAATGCCGAGCTCAAGGCCAGGGCCCCAAACTCAGCTCAGGGACTCCGCGGCCCCCATGGTACCGCCGCCCCCTTTGGGGTGCCTCCACCAGGAAGTTCAGGCACAGTACCCGAGTGGGGGTCAGTGGCCTGTGCTGGGGCCGCAAGGAAACTGCGGGTGCCTGCAACACCCACGTGTGCGGATGCCACCAGCAGGGGCCGGGGCCGCTGTGCCCCCGGGCTGCACTCACCTTAGGAGAGCGTGTCCTGAAGTACCCTCCCGGCCCTCCTCATTTCCCCAGATTTCTCTCTGCCCGAAGACTGGGGTGAGGTAGGAGGAGAAGTCTGTTTGCAGGACTTAATATCTATTTCCTCCTCTTGCTTCCTCGAAGCTTCTCTGTGACAGCGGAGAGACTTATTCTAGGTCGGAAGAAAAGAAAACCTTGCCTGTTCCAGACCCCGAGTGCACAAAATCCAAAATGGTGCGGCAGAGAGATGTTGCTGGAAAACTAGAAACTGGGAGCACTGGAAGGCAGGGACTTTAGGGTGTCCGGAAGCAAGCTCCTAAGTCAAAAGCCACGTCGTGGGAAGTCAAGGAGAAGGGTCTGAGTGGCCGACACCATAGAGACAAACCAACCGAGAGCGAGACACCCGAGACAGCGGGGGGAAAAAAATCATCGTAGCCAGGCGTCTCTGCCCGTCTGGGAAACCGAAATCCGCTCCAAACCTCACCCCAGGCGCTCAGTCGCAGGGCCCCGCCCTGCCGGAGTCGCCACCCTCTGCCCCAGCGGAACCCACGTCGAGACCCATCATTTGCTGGGTCTTTCTTCCCTTTCTGTGTTTAAAAAAATCCTTCAATATAAGACAAAAATACACCTCATTTATCATCATAGATATATATATTTCACTCTCACCACATAAATACAAAACATCCAAATATCCAAAACATTCAGAACAAAGTTAGTAGCCTGGATTCAGTGACACCTACCCGCGTTTGACTCGTTCATTATTTTCTTCACTATTTGCCTAAAAAAAAAAAAAAGTGGGGCGAGGGGAAGCTTCCGACGTAAATAATTTACAATAAAATTACTATTTTAAAAAATGTTTCGCTCGCTTCGGATGGACGAATACATTCTAGACACTGCGGCACCTCGCGGTCTGGGTCTGTGATTTTGGTTAAAATGTGGGTGTCGGTGGTTGTAGGGGCGGTCGTTGCCGCGCTGGGGAAGGGGAAGAGGCCGCGCCAGCGACGCGGTCCGGGTTCTGGCTTGGGACCACGGAAACCCTAGGACTGGGGAGGCGGAGGGGGGGAGTGCCTTTCCTATCAATCACGCTGGGCGCTATCTGGACTCAGAGGCCGCGGTGAGAGGAGGCCCGACCGCCCGGCGGCGTCCCTACCTCCCCTTCCGCAAGGAACTGCTCTGAAATCCAGGCGTTTCCTGCGTGCAGGAAAGGTTCTGTGATCCGGGAGTTTCAGAGAGGAGGCAATGGGTGCCGACTCGTCTTCCAAACCCAGCGATTCTGCCCGAAGCCACACGTCTGGGAGACCGCAGGGTGAAGCCCCGGCGTCCAGGCTGCTGTTGGGAGCCGCTTTGCTCTTGCCAGGAGGAGCGGGATGCTGTCGGCCATCGCCCGCCCCGAACAGGCTCGGAGAAAAGATTCCGTATTTTCTTTCATTAGTGGCGTCGGCTTTTCCTGTGCTTTTCTCCTTTAAAATCCTGTTTAAAGTCACAACACCCAGAACTTCAATTTTGCACTGCCCTGTGGCGCATTCTCTACTCTGAACTTTCTTACACCTTCCCAACTTCAGCATAACGAGTATTTAAGAATTGGTTCCACATCATCTGGCTTTACGTAGTAATTGCTCTTATTTTATCGGCTGATTAGATCAAATTTATTACCACCGTTGCCTACCATGATGTTTGACTTATTGTTTCTTGGGATGGGGGTGGCTGTGACTGTAATTTCCTGAAAGGGGAGAAAACTCGGCAGGATTTGTCCCGCCCGAAGCTGTTTGCACCGACTATCCTGAGAGGTCTGCAAAGTGGGGGCCCAGGGACTCCCACAAACCCTGGTTTCTCTGGCAAGAGGAAGGAACGTCCTCCTTTTTGGTCTCAAGAAACCTGCAAGCCTTTCCGACCCCTGGGGTTTGCGTGCAGCTTTCCTCTTTCAAATATTCATAGGAATAATCCGCAGCGGCAGCGGCAGCCCGATCTAGAGCAAGTGTCCTGTGCTATGGACTAAGGGCCAGTCTTTTCCCTCGAGGGCTGGACATCGATGGGGGCATCAGGCTGGCTAACTCGGGCATTTCCCCAGTTCTTTGGATCTCTCCTGGATTCAGAAGGGGAGGAGGAGCACGGAGGAAAGGTAGAAAAAATATATATAGCCCAAATACGATCAAATTGGTAGCAGAGCCTGGTGGGAAAGGAGAGCTGTCAGAGGCCTGGTGGGAGCCAGGCGCCCAGCGCAGGAGCCCTGGGCACCTAATGCGCGTGAGCCCATAAATATCACCACAATAGATACTATAAATATAAATACAGGGAAACACTTAAAATCAGTCCAGCGCTTTTTTCTCGGCCCCTTCTTTATTGTTGGTCCGGGAGTAAGGCTCGAAGGCCGAGGAGCTCAGATACCGGGCGGAGAGTTCTTGCAAATTCCCAGCGAGCGAGCCAGCCATTGTCAACGGGGCGGAGGACAGGCGGCTGGCGACGGAGCCGAGCAGCGAGGGCACCGGCAGGCTGAAGAGGCCGTGGCCCGCGGCCGGCGCGCCCGCGTG